CTGCCCCATATGTCTCTCTAATTCCCAATTCCAACAAACCCTATTTTTACCAGTAAACCTTAATAGGGCCTATACCACTCTGAAAAATAAGCAATAAGCAGCCTTTACCAAGTAATAAGTACTCTACTTTACCTACAAATATGTACTGAATTCTTGTTTGCTGACTAATGCACCTAAATTCCAATGAATTAAGGTGTTTGTTTTTCCTTCCTTTCCAACTTCTAATATCATTCAGTTTGGGAACATCAGAGTCACAGAAGAGATATACTTGTCTACCAAAGTTATAATGGATGTCACACACGACCATGAAAATACTGAATCCACAACAGAGTAGAGGTGGCATTATAAAAGAGTACTCCTATTTAGAAACAGACATTTTTAGTTAACATCTGAGGCAGAAAACACAAATGCAAAAAAAGCATATAAACACTTTTGAGAGTTAAGAGTTGTTAGTTTGAATCTTCAGTGAAATTTTTAACTTCAGTAAACTATCTATCTTAGAAAGAGATTTGTTTCTTCTTCAGGGCAAATTTAAGCTGCTTAAAATATGGTAAGACATAACACTAACCTAGCTGAGCTCTGATCAGTCTTTCAACTTTCTCCACTTTCTATTCTTCCTTTGAACAAATCTGCATGCTCTTTAAAGTATAACAGAATATCAGGAGATAACAAAATCAGGTTTGTTCAAAATGAAAGGATAGTTTAAAAAATTAAATTTAAATACATGTATGAATAATTTATTTAGATACAGCTGTTCTTCCAGTCTCCATATTATTTTTACTTTCCTTCCTTGAATAAGGAGAGCAATCTGTTTATAAATTTTATCAACTCACAAACTCAATGTATTATTTGCATATTTATCACAATCTTGAAGCATTCTTTCACTTAACCTCAAGTAATTCATGAAAGGCTTTCTCTTAAAAGAAGTGATCTACATGGTGGACACTAACCACAGAACACATGAGTGTATCCATCTATTTAACTAAGAAATGTAAACTCTATAACTTAGGAAGGGCTTTATCAACCAAGGGAAACAGAGTAAACTTACAATGCAACTGAAAATTCACAATGGTGTGTGGAATTCTATAATTAAGTCTCTGGCTATTCTAAAGGTATGAGTAAAAAAAATCATTTAATGTGCCCAACTGGCATGGCTCTGTGGTTGAGCATCGACCTCTGAACCAGGAGGTCCCAGTTTGATTCTGGGTCAGGGCACATGTCTAGGTTACAAGCTAGATCCCCAGTAGGGGGTGTGCAGGAGGCATCCAATGAATGATTCTCATCATTTATGTTTCTATCACTCTCCTTTCCGCTCTGAAATCAATAAAAATATACTGAAAGAGACGGGGGAAAGAAATAAAATTGCTTAAAAAAATTATTTACTGTTATAAGAAAACCAGTAACGTATAAATTTGTACAGTAAGTTTTTAATGTCTAAGATATTTTACTTCCTTTCAAAAAATCAAATTTTATAATGTATACATCAAGTTAGCCTTGACTATAGCTGTACTACTGGAGTCAGTAGGTTAAACAAAATTCTTCAAGTAAGTATTTGAAACATTTACCTAAATCTTCATAGCAACGCTTCAAATTCTTAATGGAAATAAGAATAGTATTTTTACCCCCAATCTTAATACCAAAACAGAACAACAACAAAAATTCACAGAATAAATAAGGAACACAATGGGTTTAGATACACTTGGGCATAAGTTTAACCATATGTAATTTCCAATTATATTTTAATTTCTTAAAATAATTTGTGACTAACAAACTGAATTTATAATAGATAGATTAAACATTACTAAATACATGTAAGGAATACAACCTTTCTGTTCAACTCATCAATGCCCCAACGCCATTTTGATTTTTTTTGCACTTTGATTTCTCCATTTATGAAATATAATACATGTCCTCTACTGTGAAATTATACCTTATGCATTTACACTTTAGGGATAATCTAATAATAAACTTTTGTGGAATATATTGAGGTGTACATGCCAAGAAAGGAATGAAGTGCAAACAAAATATGTAGACATCATGGATGATTAATAATTTTTAAAGAGTACTTTTACACATCAGTAAACACATTTTTAAAATTAAATGCCAGCGTTGAAACAAATAATCATTTCAATTTTAGACTTTGAGAAATCTTTGTAGACAATCTACATGTTTGATACAATCAAGCTAACTTTTGGCAGATCACTAAATTCAAGTCTCTATATTTAATGACTATGTATGTTTGTATCAAAATAAACTTTAAAATGTTAGGATATATACATGGCCAGCATGCTAGTCTGATCTCACTTATCTAAATGTCTGTAATATCATGACGATATATCATAAAATACTAGGCTAACAGCCATTCTCCAATTAATCTATATATAAAAGCCTAAGCGACCGTTTGACTGGTAGCTATGACGAGCACTGACCACCAGGGGGCAGATGCTCAATACACAGGCATGGAAACATGGAACAGACTGATGAATCTCAGAGGGAAGGGGGAAGGGGAGGGTGGGAAGAGATTAACCAAAGATCTCATATGCATACTAGAGGCCCAGAGCACGAATTCATACACTGGTGGGGTTCCTTAGCCTGGCCTGTGGGGATCGGGCCAAATCCATGCACTGGGCCTCTAACATCCCCCAAGGGGTCCTGGATTGCGAGAGAGCACAGGCCAGGCTGAGGGACCCCACTGGTGCATGAATCTGTGCACTGGGCCTCTAGTAATAAAATAACAGAGCAATGTCAGCAAATACTAAACTTGTAGAGTAAATGAGAACTACCACATGTAAGGACAGTCTTATAAGTCAAATTATTTCACCTATGATTTATAAAACACATTATCTGCTCATCAGAAACTATGACATTCAATTTGATATATGAAAGAGGAAACTTACAAAGTCACTTGATTACTATTTCTTACTATGAAGAGACACTTTTATGGTTAAGTAACAGAATCACTGTGAAAGCTTGGCATCCTGTCTGCCAGTTAAGATTTTTCAGAGGAAGGTGTAAAATCCAGCATAATACATGTCCTCTACTGTGCAATATTATACCACTATGAAAAAAAAAAATCTTTCAAGTTTGGTAGTACCCAATTTTTGACCAATGTATTTCTTTAGAAACCATGCAAATCTTCACATGGTTTTATTTTCCAAAACAAATGCCCAACCTTTTTCCTAGTAGCCTAGCTACAACCCTGCAAAAACAAACCTAGAGAGTGACATCTGAAGGAAAAAAGTTTAGCTAAAGACAGATCAAAAAGCAGCTTCTAATAAGAACATAAAGCTCAACTTGATCTGAGAACAATGTAAAAAGTTGCAAACCTTGAAACTATCTAGTTAAAAATAGTACCTATAAGTATAGCCAGTGGATATGATCTCAAGATAGAAATCAAAACTGGAAAAACAGTATGTATGTAACTTGTAAAAAATTAGAAGTCTAAAACTCTGTTAGAATGAATGTAAATTCTTCAGAAAAACACACCTCTCATGAACCATATACATCATATAGTACCTTACGGATATTAAAGTTCAATCATTCAATCAATTCAGTAAGCATCAGGCATAACTTTAAATGTACATTTTAAACAGTCTAAAATCCAAATGGTTCAAACTGATAAGCAGAAAGCCAGGGTATGTATTAAGAGTATTCCTCTCAATATTATAAATGAAAATTAGCAAGTGAATATCACTATAAATATAAAGTATCAACTTACCATAATATTAAAGCAATGTTTTGGAGGATAATTTTGTTCTAGTTTGCTTTTAGTTTTAGTCCTTTATCTAAAAATGTACTCTAACACACATCACAGACACACAGTAGATAACAACTAACCATATATTTTCTAGACTTCTGTATAGCTCAGTAACTACCCACAAAGTTCTGTGAACTCTTCAGCTTCAAGCCTGAAGTCAATCTATGATAGCCAATAGAAAGTACACCTGTGTAATTACTACATTCCTATTTCAGAATGCTAAACATAACACAGACTATCCACACTATTGCTATTACATTTGGAGCAATAATAAATGCCAAGCTCAAATTATGCAGAAGCCACATTATTTTAAAAAGGCCATCTTATAATATCAGTATAATAATAAGTATAAAGAGCAATATTTTAGTTTTAAATAACCACCAACAACTAAGGGCCCTCTATGGCTAAGTAAACATTAAAAATAAAAAGAGGACCTCATAATAAATTACAATATAAAAATATTTCTAGGAAAACAACTGGTTAAAAAAAAAAAATAGCCGGTCACAAAATATACCATCTAAACTTATCACATACCAACTGAATAAGAAATTTACTTTGTCAAATAAAGACAAAATAAAGGGGAGAATGGAAGAAAAATCCAAATCATAGCATTTCTTTTCACAGTATCCCTAATTCTCCTAACTATATAATAATCCTTTTGAATGTTTTTAAGTGACTTGATATTTAAAAAAAAAAAAAATCAATCCTGGTCACCTCAGACACCAGCATGTTATGCTATGTAGAAATATTGCACTGAAAAACTACTCAGTGACAAGGTTCCACACAAGAGATTTCATTTTTAAAGTCAGAATTTAAAAAGACAAAGAAGTTTCCAAAACAAAGAAAAAATTTTCCCAAGGGATACAAAGTTTCATTAACTATCTTAACTCTTTTACTAAACATCACCTTTCTGCCCCTCTTTGGATATCAAGCAATCAATAACAATGTCACAAAAGAATGTTTACCAAGATGGAGGTAGGGTGTCACCTGTAATGATTCCGTATAAAAAAAATGTAAACAATCTTAAAATAGGTGAGGACAGCTCCCACCATCCTAAAACCTCACTCTGTGGCTATTCAATGTTTCCCAGACTAAAATTAACATGAGTTCAGAAACTGGTGTGCAAGGTTTGGAGGGGGGGTGTGTGTGTGTGTGTGCCCGCACGCTATTTTTTATGTCTAAAAACAAATCTCCCCATAAGTCCCTCATTTCCAAATACTGTTCAAGAGTCACTACTACTCACCGCAAGTAATACTGTTTTAAAGCAAAGGCAGCGTTAGAACAACTTCTGGGAAAGTTGAACTCTTCAACAATTTCTCCCCACTGATTCTTCTCAGAAACCTGTTAAAAACACAACCACGCTTGTCTGCAAATGCACGACCCAAGAAAACTCTAACCTAACCATGAAATAAATACCCATTCTACAGAGATCTGCAGATACCCAGGCGTCGATGGGCGTTTCAGATCGACCCCTACGAGCTACCAAGCAGCAGAGCCTGCTGGTACCCCTGTTTGCACCCGAGAGCCCTGGGTTTTGCAGCACTTGTTTTTTTTGGGGGGGGGGGCGGGGGGAGGGGAGAGGGGGTCTGGTGGGTTTGTTTTGTTTTTGAAGCCCGGACAATAACCAATCGCAAGTCCCGCTGTCGCCCCCTTTTAAATCTCAACGCGGTCCGTTTACACGGAAAAAAAAAAAAGAAAAGAAAAAGAAAAAAAAAGTTCCGAAGGATCAATAGTGTTCCGGACAGCGACGCCCGCAGGGTCTGGGGGGGCCGGGGCCGACTGCGCTCCCTCTCCCACATCTCTCCATCTCCATAGGCCCTTCGTGAGGCCTACAGCTCCTGCCTAGCCTTGAAGCCTAAGATGGCTATTTGGAGACAGGTCCGGGTTTCTTTTGTTAGCGGCATAAACCCGGGGCGCCGGGGCCGAGGCCGTGCCCCCGGCCGCCGGGGCCGTTTCGCCGCCGATTATCGATGTGAAACCTGCCCGCGCTAATTTTGAGTTGCACGAAAACTGCTCGCAGAGTCTGTGTGCCTGTGTCTCCGCCTGTGCTAGAGCGGCGGCGGCGGCGGCGGCGGCGAGCGGCGGGCGGGCGGGCACGGGGCGGGCGCGGGGCTCCGGCGGGCACCCCGCACGCCCGCGCTCCCCGCCGCGGCGCTCAGACCCCGCGGGCCGGCCGGGCAGCGGGCAGGGCGCGAGCCGGCGCCGGGCCGCCCGCCCGCCCCGGCCCCGCGCCCGCCGCGCGCACGCCAGCCACCACCAGGCCGAAAACAGCCCCGCCGCCGTCCGCCTCCGAGCCGCCGGCTGCGAGCGAAAGGGACGCCTCGGGCTCCCGCGGGCCGCCCCCCCCCGGCCCCGAGCGCCCACCCCGGGGTCAAAGGAGACTTTTCGGAGGAGGCCAGCGAGAGGGAAATACAAATTAAAACTTCCACTCACCTTCGCGAATCCGCCTAAAGTAGTGACTCTGGTGTAGAGACCGTGCAGATCCAGCTCCTTCCCACCCACCGCGGGGATTTTCTTGAAAGGCGACCTGTGGGAGAGAGGACGCCCCGCACTTGTCAGCCGGGACCCCGCGCCCGGCCGGGAGCCCCGTTCGCCCCGGCTCGCCCCGCGCTGCCCCCCCGGTTCTGCTCTCACCCTCGGCTGTGGTGGAACTGCCGCAGCTCGTCCAGGAAAGCGAGTCCCTTTCTCCGCTCGTCCGGAGGCGCCTTCCCCGTCGAGTTTGCCATTATTTTTTCAAAGGAGGTTTTAAAGAAAACCCAGATCGGTGTTTTAAAAGCGCCCCCCGCTCCCCGCGCTTCCTACCAGAGCCCGGAGCCCATTCCTCGGCCGGCGGCGGCGGGGCGCAGTCATGGGCCGGCGGTGGCGGCGGCGGCGGCGGCGGCGGCGGCGCAGGGAGGGAGGAGGGAGGGGGAGGAGGAGGAGGAGGAGGGGAAGGAGGGAGCGGGAGGCCTGGGGGACCGGAGGGAAGGAGGGAGGGGAATTTCTAAAAAAGTTTAAAGAAATCGGAGCGAAACTAGAGGGGCAGGCGACGGCCGGATCCGCGCGAAGCGGCGGGGCGAGCGCGGCCCCCACCCCTGCCTTCCCTCCCTCCCCGCGGCCCGCTCTCGCCCGCCTCTCAGCGCCGCCGGCTCGGGCGGCTCGGCCTGGGGCCGCGATTCAACATGGTGCTGCTGCCGGGGGCGCGCGGGCGGGCGGGCGAGGGGCTAGGCGAGCGGACGGTGAGGGTCGGGAGGCTGGCGGCCCGGGAGTTTCGGCGGCGGCGGCGGCGGCGGCGGCGGGGCTGGGGCAGGCGGGGCTGGGGGTGGGGAGGGGGAGGTCTGTGTGGTGGTTTGTGGAAAGCGGGGTGACAGCGTGTATTCCGGCCGCGGCTCGGCGGGGCCCTCGCACACATTCACGCGCGGCCTCGGCCGCCTCGGCCGGGGCGTCCGGGGCTGAAGGCACCGGCGGCGGCAGCCGAGCTGCTCCGCGCCGCCGCCGCCCGCCCGCTTCCCTCCCCGTCAGCCTTCCTCGCTGCCGCCGCCGCCGCCACGGCCGGCAGCTGCGCCGCACAGCGCCCCCCGAGGGCCGGCCGCGGCACTGCGCCCAGCTCCGCACCGCCCCGGCAGCTCCTCGCGGGGAACAATAGACTCGGCTCGCCGGGTTTAGGGTTCATCTGCAATGTGCCGCACATTTCACACGCACACAAAGCCGGCGGGAAGGGGGGCGGCGCGGGGAAACGGCCACTACCGGCTGCTCCCGGGTGGGGGGTGGAGGCGACGTTGGCCCCCCGGCCCCGCTACTGGGAGGGCCGCCGGGCGCCCCCGGCCCGCCCCGCCGCCCGAGTGGCGCTCGGGAGGAGAGCGAGGCGCCGGGGGCAGCTCCGCATCGTGCACAGATTGGAATCAAGTCAAGTTGTTGCCTTTTTTTTTTTTTTTTTTTTTCAAGGTCTGAAGGAATCGGCTGCTTGTTTAAGCCTTGGGCTAGTATTTGGGGGGAATGGTTAGCACATTTTCCCCGAATCACCCCCTAACTTTAGCCAACTACACCGTCGGCACGGGGAGCACTGCCCTGGCTCCGTGGCCGCGGAGGAATGAATGCTCTTGCTGCATCCTGCCCCGGGCCGGCTCCACGCATCCACCCCGGCGATGCTGCGCCGAGTTAGGCAAACGGTAATTAAGCTGGCTGGGAAGCAATCTTTTGAGCTTTGACAATAATTAACGTTTATATATTTATATTAAGGGATATTAAAGATAAATGCGCTTAAATATTGAATCAAACCTTGGTTTTCCTTGCCTTCTCTCGGATGTCTTAAGTGTGATCCCCGCTTAGACATTTTTGAAGGTAAAAACGGGGGGCTGCTTCCCTGAGAGCCCCAGCATCTCGGCCAATACTAAGTTTGCATTTATTTACAAGGGGTGTTGGGCTCGACCCCTGGCTACCCACGTTCATGGAGCGTCACACCGTGGGGAGCGTGTCATTCTCCCCATTTTCCTGATGGCCACTGCGGGCAAAGTCACCCTCCAACCCAAGGTCACGGGCCAGCCCGCGCCTGGGCGGACGGGTGGCGACTCCCGGCGGTGGTTCCAGTGGGCACCTTTCTCCGGCGTCGAGAGAAACTGTGTCATGTGGCCCAGCCTGCTTCCGGCGCTCGCTCTAGGAAACGGCTTTATTTCCCGAGGAAAGTTTGCCTCCTCCGCGGGGTCGGCGTGAGGCCGCGGCCGGGCTAGGAGGTTCCCGGCACCCGCGGGCCAGTGGCCGTCTCGCCAGGCGCTGAGGGGCGGGGACCCGGCCGGGGGAGTGGAGCGGGCGGCCCCGGCCGGCGGCGAGGGGGGCGGGGTGGGAGGGGGGCCCGGCCGGTGCTGCTCGGGGCGGCGGCGGCGACGTGGGCCGCAGCGCCGCGCCGCGCGGCCTGGCCGTGCGGATCCCCTGAGCGCCGCACTTGCGCACAGCCCCTTACGTAACCGTCAGCGCCGGGGATTCCCTAGAGGGGGTCACTCTATTCAACCATTACACACACCCCGCTCCGCCGCCGCCTCACAAAATGGCGGCGCCCATGGAGGAGACGGCGGCCGCCGCCGCGGCCCCATTTTGTGAGAGGCGAGAGATCTGTCAACATGGAAAACCTCCGCTGAGGATGCCTCGGAGTTTGGACACGCCGCTGAAGGGATGGAGTCGAGGGGGATCTCATTCGACGGAACATGACAGCGACTTGCAGCGCCTCGACGCTCGTGAAAGAAATTTTTTTTTGCCCATTTTCTCAAAGGAAACGCTAGAAGCCTCCGGGTAATGGTCACTAAGGGGAGAAGGCACGGCTGCGGTGGACTTCTCCGGGGACCGGCCGCGGCGGCCTTGTGGTGGCTCTCCCACGCGCCCGGGAGCTGAGCGCGACGCCGCGGAGGGTCGCCCGGGCCGCCGGGCCCCGACCGAGGGGACGGGACTCCCGGGCGAGGCGGAGCAGCACCGGCCTTCGCCGCCGCGCCCCTGGGGCAGCGAGACTTTTCGGTGGTTTTTCAATGCCAGCGTCCACGGCCCAGTCGGTACCCCTCGTCGGAGTCGTGGGCTTTGGGGGCTCCGGAGGCCCCTGCTCCGGGAGCCGCGGTCGCCGGGAGCCGCGTGGCCGGGAGCGGGCCGACTCGGACCGGGCAGCCCTGCGCGCCGGGGGGTCGGGCGCGGACCGGCCCCGGCTGGTGTGGACCGGGCCGAAGTGGGGACGGGGCTCCTACCCTGACCTGTCAGTCGTCCGGTTCGGGGCCGGGGAGTGTGTGCTCAGGTCTCAGGTCAGACGATGGAAAGTCTGTTCTAGTAGCTCACTCTGCAGCGGGCAGACCTGGTTCATCTTCTTTCTCATTCCAAGGGCGGAATGGAGGAGTGACATTTTATATTTTTTAATTTTTCAGGGGGAGGTCACCACTTTTAAGCCACTGACTGCTTGCTGTGAGTGTGTGTGTGTGTGTGTGTGTCTGTCTGCACACCTGCATGGACAGGAGTGTGTTTTCCTTCTCAGTACAGGTACACAGGCTCAAGACCCGGAGTGTGATGCTAACGTTTAAACGCCTTTCTTGGAAATTTACGATGTGATATGTACCTGGAGAATTGACCCTGGGGGAAAAAAAATTCCCTTTCTGCAGAAGAAGCTGTCATCTACAAAATGGATTCCTAAAGTATGTCTGAAGGATAGAATTTAAACTCATAACACTGGATATGCTCGCGTCAAAGAAAAAAAAAAACCCTGATGATTAACACATCACTATGTGGTTCAACTTCCCCACGACTAGGAAAATGTAAGGCAAAAAGTAAGCTTAATATTAACGGCATTTGCTTGTAAGAGGAACGTATAATAGTTTAAGGAAAAAGGAAATTCATCTGATGAAACATGAATTACACGAATAATTGACTTCAAATGGTTTTTCCCGAGTAGAAGCAATCATTTGTACTTTTAGAAAGTGTCTTGTTTGTGTTGATTTTGACCCCCATCTGTCCTCTCTAATGCAGAACTGTGTCTGGCTGCAGCCCGCGCCTATCACTGCGCTCCATGCCCATCCCCTGCCGCACGCTGGATGCTACTCCTTGGGTGTGAATTACCAAGATAGTTTCTGGTCCTCTCTGTTCCTCCTGATGTCCTTTATATTTAATAAATTTGGTTACCACTAATCAGTCTGTATCTCTTGCAAGAATACCTTATCCTAGCGCCCAAGTACCCAGCGAATATTTTTTTATGGGGTTGCACTAGAAGTAACCCTAATGCAGTGTATTACATTTCTGTATACCGTATTTCATTTCCTGTAGTGGGCAGCATAGAGCAGGTGGGTCCTGGGGAGGAAATGTTAATTTCCCACAGTTTTACAATAGATATTCTCTAATTTGATGACATAAATAAAATGTACTTAGTAATTTTCAAACATTAATGGAAAAAATAGTCCTGTAAAAATTACTAACAGTGGAAATTATTGAGACTCAATTTGTATAGCTTACTGTTCTGATGAGAAATGTTGACAAAGTCTTTTGATGTAAAAAATGCAAACCATTTTTAATAGTAACTCCATAATTAGAAGTTTCTGTTATTTTAGATGAATCTCTGATCCTTATTAGTTTTAGTATTATCTAGCCAAGAAATTACAATGTTTAAAATTTCCTCATTCACGTAAACTTTAAGGAAACTATGCCAAATTACAAATCAAGCATGTCAAGTATATGATTACAACAGCTGAAAAAAGTTAAGTGAGGAACTGGTGTGTCAGTTCATTGGAGAAATACTTGGATTTTAGGTTACTATAAAGCTTAAAGGAATTGGTTGAACAAGCTATTGAACTTAAATTTGTGTTTCTTTAAAGATGATCTTAAGAAGAAAGATAAGAACACTTTCACCACTTGCTGCTCTTACTGTCTTTACTGCCATACTCTTTTAATGTAGGCTTACTTTCTGAATGATTTGCCCCTAAAGCATCTGATAAGTTTTTTGGTTTGTTTGTTTTTTGATAGATATTAGAGGTTATGTTTTGTACATAAATCCAGTGCAATTTATTTTTTTAAAAAAAAACTTTAATAAGCTGTAATAACTAAAAAATTAAATTTTAGCCAATTATAATATTCTTTGGAGAGGCATTCCCAAATGGGCTTTGGACTGGGAGCTGGTCTCATCAATTGTTTAGGTCATTTATCTAACCCTGAATGTTTTAAATTGGTATGAGTTTAAGGTGCTACATTTGTATTTATTTCATCTCTTTTGATCACTGAAAAGTAGGCCTCAACTAAAAGTGCTCATTATAGTATAATAACAGTTTATAGTAGATTAATCGATTGTTTATAGTATTTAATAACTTTGAAAATTAGGATAGCCTAAATAGGAAACATTTATTTTTATTATTAATTGTTGTATTATTTATTTGTATTACAACTATAAACTTACTTTT